AATTTGTGTTGAATTTGAGGCACTTGACCCTTTCTACCATGTTTTCTTGAGAATTTTGAGACTCCTTCTGTCAGGAAGAGTGTTAAATACATAGGGAAGTTTCTCTAATACATCAGAAAACCTTCAGGCACACTAGAAGATGTCTCAGACATGACAGGAAATATCTAGAACAGATAGGAAAAGTTTGAGAGGAAGCATCACAAACAAGTCTGGAAGTTTTTGAACCAAAGTAGTAAGGAAGAGTTCCAAATAAACCAGTAAGAGGCTCAACCAGAAGTGGAATATCTCTGATACTGCCCTGAGTATCAACATGTTAGGAATGGTCTCCAATTGTCTGGAAGAGTCTCAACTAAATCAGGAAGAAGAGCCAACATGTCAGGAAGTGTTTTAAATAGAGAGGAAGGGTCTCACATGCATCAGGAATCTTCTCTAACAAGTGTGGAAGTCTCTCAGTAGTCTGGAAGTGTTTTACTTGTGTAAATAAAGGACTCAAATAGAGACTGAAGTGTCTCTATAAGGTTCATGAAGGGTCTCAAGTGAATAAAAGAAGATACCTAACATGACAAGAAGTTGCAAATAAGTCATGGATTCTTTAAAATATAAGAGGAAAGGGTCTAAATACATTAGGAAGTTTTTCAAATATGTGAGGGAGAATCTCAAACATGACAGAAGGATCTAAAACTTCTCAGGAACTGTCCAAATGCAGAAGAAGAATCTCAAATACCCAAGGAAACATCTCAAACAAGTTAGGAACATTCTCAAGGTAGTAAGGAGTTTACCCAACTGAAGGAAGAGTCTCAGATTTATTTGAGAGTCTCAGGGATGTCTGGAAGCTTCTAAAACAAGTCAAGAAAGGTCTCAAGCAAGATAGAAAACACCTCATGTATGTCAGGAAGCGTTTTAAAAATGTTCTGAAGAGTCTCAAATATGTCAGAAAGAATCTCAAATAGGAAAGAAAGATTCTCAAAACTTCCAGGAATGATTAAAAGGAAATAAGAAGTGTCTCAAACATGTCCTAATGGTCTCAAACAGTCAGGACATGTCTCAAAGACATCAAGAAGACTCCCACACACATCAGAAAGTATAGCCAACGTATCAGGAACAGTTTTAAACATCAGAAAAGTCTCAAACAAATCAAGAATGGTTTTACCATGTCAGGAGGCATCCTTAACAAGCCAAGATATTTCTCCAACAGAAACTTGAATACTTCTGGAATGGTTAGATACAGGTCAGAAAGGGTCTTAAATGTATCAAGATCCATGAAAGTCAGAAACATCATCATGATGTCTCAAATACATCAGGACGAGTCTCAAACATCACAGAATGTTTCAGAAACATGACAGGAAATGTTCTGGAAGAGAGGATCTGAAATGTTAGCAATCCTCTCAAACTAGATAGGAAGGATCTTAAAGCAGACAGAAAGAGCATGAAATTTGTCAGTAAAGGTCAGTAACAGTCTTAAATACATCTGGAATGGTGTTAAACATTTCAGCTAGAGACTCAAATGAGATGGGAAGTATCTCAAGCAAGTCAGAAAAGGTCTTTAAGATGTTGCAAATAGTCTCAAAGAAATTCTGAAGACTTTCAAATGTGTCTGGAAGAACTCTAAACACTTTAGGTTCAAAAACATGACAAGAAATGTCTCAGACACGCCAGGAATGGTCTTAAACATATTAGGAAGTGTTTGACTCATCTCAGGAACCACCTAGAAGAGAGAGGTGAATATGATCAGTAACTACATCAGTAATCCTTTCAAACAAGTCCAGAAGGGTTCAAGAGCTTTAGATATGTCACTAACTGCCCCAAACAGACAGAAAGAGACACAAACACCCCCAGACAGTTCTCAAACATGTCAGAAAAAAAATACTAAGAATCTCAACTCATGAAGGGTGTCAAACATGACAGAAAGAGATAAAAATATAATAGGAAGATTTTTATATATGTCAGAAAGGACCTCAATCATAATAGTATGTGCCCAAACTTCTAAGAAGTTTTTAGAGGAGCAAGGAAGGGTCTCAAGTATATCAGAAACCATTTCATGTCAACATAAAAGTTCTCAGACATGCCAGGGAGAGACTAAAATATGTTGTGAATACACCAGGCAGGTTCCCAAATAAGTCAGAATGAACTTATTTGGCAGAAGATGTCATAAGAGAAAGTTTCTCAAACCTCCTAGAAACTTTCTAGAATATAGAGGAATATTCTCAAATACATCAGGAAGCATCTCAAACAAATTTAAGATATTCTCAAAGTAATAAGGATGAGATGTAAATGATTCCATAAGATGTTACAAAAAGACGGAAGGGTCTTGGATCTTCTGAGAGTCTTGGGCATGTCAAAAAGTGTTTCAGTCGAGGCATGGTAGTGCACCCCTATAATCCCAGGGTCTCAGAAGGCTGAGGTAGGAGGATCGCAAGTTCAAGGCCAGCCTCAGCAACTTAGCCAGACCCTGTCTCAAAATAATAAAATAAAAAGGGCCGGGGATGTGGCTCAGAGGTTAAGAGCTCCTGGGATCAATTCCCAGTACAAAAAAAAAAAAAAAAGTATTCAAAAAATTTAGGGAAGCGGGGCTGGGGCTGTAGCTCAGTGGTAGAGCGCTTGCCTCGCATGGGTGAGGCACTGGGTTCAATCCTCAGCACCACATAAAAAAGAAAAAAAAATACAGATATTGTGTCCATCTACAACTAAAAAAATTTAAAGAAAAATTTAGGGAAAGGCTCAATTAAGTCAGAGGTGATGTCACATTCATAAGAAAGAGTCTCACATAAGTCATAAAGAGTCTCAAATATGTGACGATGAGTCCTAAAAAGTTCTCAGATTCATCAGGAATGGTCTAAAACAGACAAGAAGAATCTTAAAAATGTCAAAGCAATCTCAAATACAGAAAATACCTCAAATGCCGCAGGAGGAACATAGCAAACATGTCAGAAATGGTCTCAAACACATCATTAGAGGTTTCAAACAGGAAGATTGGAAGCAAGTCAGAAAAGCCTTTATGTACATCAGGATGTGTGAACAAATAAATCAGAAAGGGTCTTAATCTTGTCAGGAAGGGTCTAAAAAATTACAAATCTCAAACCAGACTGGAAGGATCTCTTTCATCACAGGAAGAACTTAAAAATTTGTTGGTAAAGGCTTTAAACAAAGAGAAAAGAGTCTCAAATAAATCTGGAGGGGTTTAAGTAAGGGATTCAAGGTCAGAAGTGTCTCAGGCATGTCAAGACAGGTTCCTAATATACCACAAAGAGTCTCATGCTATAACATCTCTCAAACAAGCTTGGAAAAGTCTTATATACATCAATAAGTTTCTCACATGTGGTAGGAAGGGTCTCAAACATGTCAGAAAGGATCTTAAACTTGTCAGGAAGTATCTAGAACAGCGAGGCAGACTCTCAGATACAGGAGAAAACATCTCAACCAAGTCAGGAAGCCCTGCAAACAGTGGGAAAGGGTCTCAAATACATCAGGAATCTCATCAATCAAGTCTAGAAGGTTCTCAGAGTACTCAGGAAGAGCTCTAAACAAGTTGATATGTATCTCCAATGAAGACAGAGAAACCTGAATACCTTCAAAAGGATCTCAAACATGTGAAGGAAGGTTTGGAAAGTTGGGGAAGACCTAAAGCAAGTCAGAAAGAAGTGTCTAATTTGTCATGAAGAGTCTCAAACAAGACATGAACCATTCAGGAAGTATCTCAAATTCATCAGAAAGAGTCTCAAACATGGGGAAGGGTCTCAAAGAGGTCAGAAAGCATCTCAAACAAATCAGGAAAGATCTCAAAGTAGGCAGAAATGCTTCTAGATATGTCTGTAAGGCTCTTGAAGAGCCTTACTTTGGATGTGGTCTCGAACAAGTCAGGAAAAGCCTGAAAGTCATCTGTACAAGTCTAGAATACATCAGGAAGGTTCTCAAAAATACAGACTCTCAGATTCATCTAAAAAGGTTTCAAATACACAGACAGGGATTAGTTACACCAGTCAGTATTTCTAATGCCCCAAAGCGTCTCAAACATGTCAGGAAGATAATCAGAATTGGTGTCTAACAAGCCAGGAAAGGGTTGAATGCGTTAGAAAATGCCTTAAACTATTCATGCATGGTCTCAAATACAGCAGGAAGGATCTTAAAGTTGTCAGGAAGAGTTTTCATTATCTCAGGTTGGGTCTCAAATAGACAGGAAGAGTCTTTGTCAGAAAAAGCCTCAACAAGAAGGATCTCGAATACTTTTGGAAAGGATCATAACAGACAGGAAGTAGCTTCAGTAGTCAAGACTGTACTCTAACATGTCAGGGAGTCTTAAATCCATCAGGAGATTTATGAAATAGATCAAGTTGTTTCAAATAATTTTGGAAGGGTGGCAAAGATGTCGAAAAGTTTCTCACACAGTTAGACTGTCAAACAAGTCCTAAAAAGGTCTTTAACATGTCAGGTTGTAAAATGTTCAGTGTTCAGTGAGGTCTCAAACATATCAGAAATCATCTCAAACAAATTAGAAGTTTCTAAAATAATCCAGAAGAGCTTTATGTATGTAAGACACTCAAACAGATGTGAATAACCTCACTACATCATTAATGTTCTTAAACAGATCAGGAAAGGTGTCAAGTAAGTCAACTTAGAATGGGTCTCCAAGTTGTCTGGCAGAGTTTGAAATAAACCGACTGGAAGAGTCTCAAATATGTTGAGAACTGTGTCAAATGTGACCGGAAGTAGGTCAAAGTCCTCAGGATGAATCTCAAATGCATCAGGAAGGGTCTCAAACATGTCAGGAAGGGTTCCAAACAAGCCAGGAAGAGTCACAAATAGGTCAGCAAGAATCTTATACAATTAGGAAGCCCCAAACAAATCAGCATCTCAAGTACATCAGGAATTACCTTGATCAAGTCAGGAACTGTCTAAATATGTCAGGAAGGGTCTTTCACGTGAAGGGATAGGTCTGAAACAAGTTAAGAATTGTCTCAAACAGGACACGAAGGGTGTTCCAGAAGTTAGGAAGAGTTGCATACCTCTGAGGAACTGCATCGAATTCATCAGACTCTGAAACAGGTCAGAAAGGACTTAAGTCAAAAAGAATCTTGAACAACTTTAAAACCCTCTCAAATATATCAGTAAGGGTCTTAGCTTGGACAAGAACAGTTCATTCTGAGAAAATGCTTTCGATCGTTCTTTCTTCACCACGAAGATTCCAGACCTCTAGCTATATGTTCTGCTGCACTCACAATTTCAGAAAAATTAAAAAAAAAAAAAAAAAAAAGTGCCCAACCCATCCCCCATCCATCTCCTCCCACTCCACCCCCCAATCCAGGATTTGTTTTCTGCCAAACTCTTCTGACACAACTTCCAGGTCATGGTCAAAGACACAGTGTGTATTTCCTTCTCTGTGCATTTATATCCATCTGTCAGCTGTGATCTTCTCAATAGCAAAATGAATTCAAGCTTAGAAGCACCTAGGGTTGTTTTTTTTTTTAAGAGTCTTTAGTTTTTTGGTTTTTTGTTTTTTGGATAACCTGTGTTAATAGCACTTAAGAATTCTACACAAAGAAATTCTGTGAACAAAAGTGATTACTCTCTCTCTCTCTCTTTAATAGAAAACCCATAAGGAGTTCTGTTGTATGGAAATGAAGCTGAGGCAAGCCTGTGATTAGCAGTTTACATCCTCTTTCAAAGGAAAATAAACAAAGTGCTCAGCATGGCCCGGCCTCCTCTTCCCTGTTTACAGAGGTGTCTGTATCAATCATTTGTTTACTGTAAATGGCTCTAATTAAACATTGTTCAAGCTTGCCTCTAACTTTGCATATTTAAGCTCTAGGAAATAAATGTTTCCTTCCCAAAATAGAAGCTTTGGTAATTGCATAATGCACATTAAAAGGGGGAGAAAAAGGGGGAGAAAAGAAGCCACTCTCCTGGATTAGTATTTTAGATAATGTCAGAGAAAATGTAAAAGTCAGCAGTTGTTGATTAAAAGGTAGGAAAAGGAAATCTGCTGTACATTCAAATAAAGAATCAAGGCTGGGTGAAGCGGTGCCCACCTGTAATCCCAGCTACTGGGGAGGCTGAAGCAGGAGGATCACAAGTTGGAGGCCATCTTCTGCAACTTAAGAACTTGTCTTCAAATAAAAAAATAAAGGGTTAGGGATGTAGCTCTTTGGTAAAGCACCTCTTGGCTCAATCCTCAGTTCCAACAAACAAGTAAATAAGCAAATAAATAGTAAAGAATTAGGGAAATAATACCTTGAAAGATGGCACTAAGAGTTCCTTAACCCTCAAGAATTATAGAATATGAGCCAGGTATGGTGCCTGTAATCCCAGCAGCTTGGGAGGCTAAAGTAGGAGGATCGCAAGTTTGAAGCTAGCAGCAGCAATTTAGTGAGGCCCTAAGCAACTTAACAAGACCCTATCTCAAAATAAAACATTAAGCTGGGTGCGGTGGTGCCTGCCTGTAATCCCAGCAGTTTGGGAGGCTGAGAAAGGAGGATGACTGAGTTCAAAGCCAGCCTCAGCAACAGCAAGGTGCTAAGCAACTCAGTAAGACCCTGTCTCTAAATAAAATACAAAATAGTGGCCAAGTGCCCTGAGTTCAATCCCTGGTACCCCCCTAAAAAATAAGAAAAAAAATTTAAAAACAACAATTTTAAAAAAAGGGTGGGGGCGGGGCTTGGGCTTAAGATGTGGCTCAGTAGTTGAGCATCCCTGGTACAAAAAAAAAAGCGAAAACAGTATAGAATTACAATTTGTCAAATTAATGACAATAATTAAATATAGATGACCAAATTTGGTCTCATAAATTATTTTTGAGAACCACTGACTCATGGCCAGCTAACTCTGCAGTGAAAACTTAGTCCTGTTCTAGTGGTTTTGATACCGCTGGTCACTGGTGTGTCCTGCTGCCCCACAAGTTGAAGTCTGCCCCCTTCAACTCTTCTCTTTCCTTCCTGCACAAGAGTAGGCCCAGGAAAGGTTTGGTGGGGTGGCCAGAAGGTGGGGAACAGGTGGGCTGAAGGGGGAAGGGCAGGATGGTGCAGCCCAGGACACCTTAATTAACAACTTCATAGCTCCCTGTAGGGAGGGACAATTCCTGGGACAGGTTACCTAGGCGACAGGTTGGATAAAGATGGAGGAAGGGCTCTGAAGGAATGAACATTTCAAGTTGGGGGGAGGGGGCGGTCCCCTAGAGTGAGTTTTCTTAGTGGGTGATTCCTTAAGGCCCTCTCTCCTGGTAGACCTTGAGGTTAGTCATGACAACACATGAAAACCCAGTCTATTGACTAGTGGTCAATCCACACACTGACTTGAGAGAAGCTCCCATCGGAGTGATGGAAAATTCCAGTTTTCTCCACATCACAGAAAACTCTTTACCCTTATTAGGGATGTCTCCCCAAGCTTGAGCTTCATTATGAGTTCCAGAAAAGCCATCTCTCATCACTGGGCTTTGCCAAAGTTATTTCTGGCCACAAAGTGCTAGGGTCCCAGTTTGCAATGTGCCAGAGACCCTGGGAGGATTCAGACTTAAGGCCATTACTGCTTTCCTCCCTGCCACTATAATTCCTGATTATGAAAAACCCAATGAAGAAAAGATAATTGTCTATGTCTTAACCTTTTGTGCCTAATTATCCTGTAGACTAAAGGAATCTCCAGTGATTAAGGGGAACATTTATTGGTTGTTAAGCACAGAACAAATACCCTTTTGCAGAGTTTAAACTCCTCTTGCAGCATTACAAAAAAATACATTGAGGACATCTGAGCACGGGAACAGTCCTGGGAGGTTTTCAACTGGCTAACTATGCAGACAAAGGGAACTTGGATGCTTTCTGACTAATCAGCCCATGTCTGTCTCAGTCCCACACTCTGGATTGCTAGTGTTTCTGATTTGTAAAGAAAGGGAGCATCCGGGAGAGGATGGATGCAGGGGGTGGGGAGTGTTGTGTGGCCCGCAGAAGGCAAAAGTAACTGGGGCTTTCCCTCAGTGCCTTCTGTCTACCGATCATCCCAGATGCCCCTGAGGGTGGTCGGGAGGAGGTTTGAGAGAAGGAACCTTCTAGTTTTCGCCTGAGTGTAGCCCAGGGCGGAAATTCCACAGTTGTCCCAAACTCCTTCCCCCCAACTCCATGCGTCCAAGGCAGATCGGGACTAGGGACACTGTGCACGCACGCCAATTGCTCTCCAGGCCTGGACAGAAGAGTCGGAAGTGGCTTTGGCAGAACCCAACATGCCTGCTCTGCATTGAACAGGTGATTGACAGCTGCACTGACTGCACTGAAGTGGCTGACGGGTGCCCATCCCCCTCCAACACGAAAGAGACAGAAAGATGCACCTCAAACAGAATTGGGGTGCATGGAGAGGAGCTCACCTCGGTGTAGATCTCTGTGGGAACCTCCAAATATGATACCGGCCGGTTGCTGGGACGAGTCCTGCTCCCCCACATGTTGAAGTCTGAACATTAGAGAAGCACCCCCAGGCAAGCATATGAAACAGGGTTTATTTAAAAAGGGGTAACATAGATTTCTGGGAGAAGAAGGGGGGCCATAGCTGGCATCCTGGTATCCCAAGAAGCCAGGTGATCTGCCCTTTTAATAAGTCCTGGGCTTCCTTTTAATTCTGCCCTCTGCCCCTAGTCTCTCTCCTTCCTGTACAAGACTAGGCTCTGGAAGGCTCGGAGGCCTGGAAAGCAGGTGGGCTGAAGGGGGAAGGGCAGGATGGAGCAGCCAAGGCCAAATTAACAATCCTATAGCTCCCTGTAGGGAGGGGCAATTCCTGGGATGGGTTACCTTGGCAACAGGTTGGAGCAAGGGCGGGTTCTTGTTTAGGGTGGAGGAAGGGCTCTGAAGAAATTAGCATTTCATTTCCTCTGGGGACAGTCTCCAACTTGCTGGACTCACTCAAAATGGGCCTCCTTGATCCGACCTGTCTCGATTTACCTATCTATGCTCACGGCCTGTCTGATTCTGGCTTCAGTTTCTCTTCTTACCCAGCTCTTCTCTAGCTCCTTCTACCAGCCTGGGCCTGGGCTTCGTCAGTTGAGCAGCAGGAAGAATGTCCGCCAGGGTGGTTCACACCAAGCACGTTCCAGAGATCCGTATTGAGTTCTTTTTTGGTGTGTCTCTTTGAAATCCATATCTTTATCTATGGACCAAATGCTGAGGAGACAAGGATACTTAATGTGGTGTATCATAGATGTCCATTGGGCGTGATGGCGCACGCCCCTAATCCCAGTGGCTGGGGAGGCTGAGGCAGGAGGATCATAAGTTCAAAGCCAGCCTCAGCAACTTAGTGCTCTACCTCTGAGCCACAACCCTAGCCCTTTCTCCCTTTTTTTGAGATAGGAGTCTCATTCTGTTGCTCAGGCTGGATTGGAACTCCTGGGTTTGAGGGACCCTCCTGCATTAGCCTCCTGAGTACTGGCACTACAGGTGGGTACTACTGGGCCAATTTTTTTCTTTTTATAAGTTGATCATTTCAGGTATTTGTTACAGTAATGGCAAGCTGACTAACACAGATGCCTAAAACTCTGTCCCTCTCCCCATTAAGAGGTGGAATTTGGGGCTGGGGTGTGGCTCAGACATAGAGCGCTTGCCTAGCATGCATGAAGCACTGGGTTCTATCCTCAGCACCACATAAAAATAAAATAAAAGATATTGTGTCCACCTATAACTAAAAAATAAATATTTCGAAAAAAAAGAGGTGGAATTTTTCTCTTTCATTGTATTGGGGCAGACCTTCTAACTCATAAATCAATATAACATGGCAGATGGGCTGGGGACATAGCTCAGCTGGCAGAGTGCTTGCCTCGCATGCACAAGGCCCTGGGTTAGTTGTCCTTAATATTTTTTTGTTTTTAATTGTAGATGGGCACAATACTTTTATTTTATTTGTTTATTTTTATGTGGTGCGGGGAATCGAACCCAGTACCTCACACATGCTAGGCAAGCGCTCTGCCACTGAGCCACATCCTCCAGCCCACCCTTAGTATTTATAGGGCATTGTGAGGCACTATGCTGACTGCAATGTATTCTGTATGTTACTTAATACCTCAAACAACCCTTATGAGATAACAACTATTATTGCTATATCTGTTTGACCACTGAGAGAATTGATCTTCAGAAGTATCTGACAAGGTGAGAGAATAGTGGTACCAGATTACAAACTTAGACCCAATTTCAAAGCTCAGCCTTTCTGCCATACCTGCAGCCCTCCTGATGATAAGCTTTTATCAGATTAGGCAATAGGAAATTCCCATCCATCTAGGTAAGTTAGTCAGCTTTCTGTCTCTGTGACAAAATACCTGAGATAAACAATTTATTAGAAAGAAAAGTTTGTTTTGGCTCACAGTTTTGGAGGCCTCAGTCCATGGCCACTTGGCCCATTGCTCTTGGGTGTGTGCTGAGGCAGTATACCATGCTGGGAGTGTAGAAGAAAGTGTTCACCTCTTGGCAGCTTGTAAGCAAAGAGGGAGAGACAGGGAGGGGCTAGGATCCCAATATCCCCTTCAAGGACACACCCTAAATGACCCAACTTCCTTGTACAAAGCCCCACTTCTTAAAGGTTTCATCACCTCCCAATAGTGCCACAGGCTAGGGACCAAGCCTTTGACACATGAACCTTTGAAGGACATCCTGGATAGGAACTCTAGCACCAGGCAAAGAAGATATTGATTTACATGGGAAAACATACTCAGGGCTCAATTCAGTGTTTCAAAGAACCATTTTTATTTTTTAGAAAAACTTTTGTTCTGGAACATTTTCAAACATACATACCAGCAATGCAGTATATGAACCACCATCCACCTATCCCCTGGTTGCAACAATTATGAACACATGGCCAATCTTGTTTCATCTATATTCATAGCTATTTCTCTCACCCCACCCTAAAATTATTTTAAAACAAATCCTAGACATTATATCTTCACAAGATATATTACAAGATATAATGGAAATATATTGGAAAATATTTAAGTATATCTCTAAGACAACCAAAAAACTTCTTTTTTTCAAACATCACTACTATCCCAACTTCAAAATATTGAAAAGAGTTTCTTAATGTCAGTTTCATCCAGTGAGTGTCCAAAGTCCTCTACATTATCCCATAATGGTATTTTATAGTTGGTTCCCTCAAACTAGGAACCACACAAGGTCTCTTATCACATGTTGTTAATAGTCCCTTAAGTCTATTTGATAGGTTACTCTTCTCTCTTGGATTCTTGCTATTTGTGGGAAAAAAAATGGAGCATTTGATCTGGAAGATTCCTCATGACCAGTCCTTTTGCTGAATTCATTCATGTCTTTTGTGTCATTTAATATATTCCCTTAAACCCTGTATCTCCTATAAACTGGTAGGTAGATTTAGAAGCTCTGTAAAATTCAGGTTTGATTTTGATTAGCAAGAATACTTTGCGGGTGATTCTGTGTATTTCCCATCACATCACATCAGGAGGCCTGTATGTCTCGCTGTTCCATTTTTAGTGGTATTGATGTTATTGGACTCAGGTGTTGTTAACTCCACTTTTAAGTTCTCATTGACTTCTGATGTAATAGAAAACAGTGCCTAGATCTATTTTTTCATTAGGGCTTGCAAACTTGAGAGATTCTAATTCTGTCATTTCTTCTGCCTTTATTAGGGAGAACTGTCCTATAATAAAGAATTTTCTTTAACTATTTAAGTACCTCCAGGTGTAGTACTTGTAAGAAAGGGAGACAAGTGCTTAGTTCCTGTGTTAGGCAGCTTTTTGTTGCTGTGACCAAAAGTCCCGACAATAACAATTTAGAGAAGAAAAAGTTTATTTTGGCTCATGGTTTCAGAGGTTCAGTCCATAGTCGGCCAACTCCATAACTCTGCGTCTGAGTTGAAGCAGAACTTCATGGTAGAAAGGCATGGTCGAAGAAAGCTGCTCAGTTCCTGACAGCCAGGAAGCAGCAGACAGCTTGAGTGTGAGGAGCCAGGAATAATATAATCCCCCAAAGCACACCCCCTCCCACTTTCCCTCAGCCATGCCCTACTTGCCTACAGTTATCACTCATTCATTCATTCAAATTATTAACCCATCAAATGGTTTAATCCACTGATTATATTACAACTCTTAAAATCTAATAATTTCACCACTGAACATTCCTGCATTATCTCACACAGGACCTTTCAGGGGACACCGCATATCCAAACCATAATAATCTCCTTACCTTGATTCACCTATTTTCATAAAAAATGACTTGATTACCTAGCATTGTCTAAAACTGACCAAAGAGTTTTTTAAAAAGATCATTTGTAGGTTGGGGTCATAGCACAGTGGTAGAGTGCTTTCCTAACATATGTGAGGCACTGGGTTTAATTCTGAATACTACATATAAATAAATAAAAATTGGGGCTGGGGATGTGGCTCAAGCGGTAGCGCATTTGCCTGGCATGCGAGTGGCCCGGGTTCGATCCTCAGCACCACATACAAATAGAGATGTTGTGTCTGCCGAAAACTAAATAATAAAAAAATATTTTAAAAAAATAAAATAAAATAAAAATCCATTGACAACTAAAAAAGTATTTTAAAAAGAAAATCATTCAAGTCAGGCATGGCAGACCTGCCTGTAAATCCCAACTATTGGAGAGGCTGAGGTAGAAGTATAGCAAGTTCCAGGCCAGTCTGTGTAAATTACCAACACAACTGTATCAGCAAAAGATAAAAAGGGCCTGGTATGTAGCTCAGTGGTAGAGCACTTGCCTAGCATGTACAAAGCCCTGGGTTGCATCCCCAGTACCAAAAAAACAAAAAAACAAAACAAAAAAAACATGGATTTTAACATCTTCGTTGTATTTCAATTCATTACTCAGATTTTAGTTTCTCATCTTTTAACAGTTTCATGGATATAATTCATATATCATAAAATTAAAGTACAAAATTCAACAATTTTTAGTATATTCACAGGATTGTGCAACTATTATTAAAATCTAATTTTAGAACATTTTTAATGCCAAAAAGAACCCCTATATCCATTAGTAGTCACTCCCATTCTTCTTCCCCACAGCCCTTGGCAACCATTGATCTACTTTCTGTTTCTATTGATTTGCCCATTATAGACATTTCATATAAATGGAATTACATAACACATGGCCTTTGTCTATCCCCTTAGGATAATATTTTCAAAGTTCATCCATACTATGGTATGTGCCACAACTTCATTCCCATTTATTGCCAAATAATATTTCATTGTATGGATGAAGCATATTTTGTTTATCCATTTATCAGTAGATGGAAAATTGGGTTTGTAATGGGTTGAATGATGGCCTCTCAAAAGATGTCTTTTTTTTTTTTTTGTACTGGGGAACTGGGGATTGAACTCAAGTGCACACAACCACTGAGCCACAACCCCAGCCCTATTTTGTATTTTATTTAGAGACAGGGTGGGTCTCACTCAGTTGCTTAGGGCTTCACTGTTGCTGAGACTGGCTTTGAACTCGAAATCCTCCTGCCTCAGCCTCCTGAGCCACTGGGATTATAGGCATGCACCCCAGTGCTGGGCAAAAGATACATCTTTTATGTCCCCTATAAATGTGACCTTACATGGGAAAAGATTCTTTGCGAATGTGATTGAATTAAAGATGCCAAGATGAGAAGCATTCTGGATTATCTGGATAGATCCTAAACCCAATGACAAATGTCCTAATAAGAGACAC